TTGTGGAATTATGCTGCAGGATTGGAAAAGACTTGGGACTTGACAGAATGTGTTCTTAGGGAATATGTACTAAAAACCAAGTTAGCCTGCCTGGCTAACTTTTATTAGCCTTTTTTGAGGTTAGAATAGCAACTTATTCTGGAGTGATTGATATTTTACTTGTAACAGCTAACTTATGTTGTCTAACCAAAGCCAAAACCAAACCACAAATACATTTGCAGAAACCTTTTATCATCCTAGATATTCCTCATGGTTTACAGTTCAGCCAAGGAGGTCTTTTAAAGAGGACAGAATGTGTATGCTACTGCAGAAAGCTTCTTGCCAACAGTCACTTGATTACACATAGGCAGAAGACAGACTTAAAAATAGAGCTAAGCCTTTCACTGACCAAAGAATTTAATGTATTTTTTTACTATACATCTATAGGAATAAAAACTATTTCTACTCAGTTTCAGGACTTGTCTTCATTTAGAGATTGAATTGCAACCCCCCAGTTTTTAAAAATTTTTTAACTGAATACTAAATAGCATTTTTACTAAAAAATAGCTTAACAAATAGATTATTTTTGCAGGGCTGAGTTATGGAAAAGCACAATAAATAGCATACTCTACCTGGGCTACAAAGCCTATTATCCTTGCCATAAAACAAACACTTTCCAGAGGGAATGCATTTCCCAATCTGTCCTGAAGACTGGTTTTTACAGGATTCAAAAGATTTGCATTTGGTAATGCACAGGCAAAATAAAGAGTTATGAAAGATCAAAAAGCTATTTTTGAAATATACACTTGGGAAGAATGATTGAAACGAATCCTGTATCAATGGCCCACATTTATTTATAAGGTTCAGAACACAAAGGTATCATTCCATTTCTGTGTTGTGCACTGCTGAGCTGTAGGCTGTCTATCTGTGGGACCATGAGTCAGGACCACTCTTTAGCTTTACAAGGTCTTTCTTTAGAACCTCATATTTTAATTATTTAAAGACCATTCGATGATTTATGTAGAAGTACTTCCTTTGCTTCTCTTGAAACATTCTGTGGCAGGATTGCAACTGCTATTGGTAATTAAGCCTGCAGGAAATCTGTTAAGCAAATGTTACACAGATGTCACATGGTAACCACTCATTTGGTAACATCTGCAAACAAATGACAAATTACTTTTTATTATGTTGGCTTCAAACAAGTACTCAAAAAAGGGTTCTGATAAGCATTTATGAAACGCAAGGGGCAAGTCAATATACAAACAGAAGAATAAATTCTTACTTGCATACTGTAAATGACAATGTAAATGTAAGATGACAATGACTCTGTGTCATTGCTCTCTTGCACCACTTCCATTCCAATTGTAGGCTGGAATAGTTTTATTTGATTGTCAGCAAGGCAAGACTTCTGGATATCCTTTGCCAAAAATAAATCCTCTGACAGGATCTATGGATTTATATTGTAATTGCATTAAAAGAGGGAAATTTCTGTTTGCTCTGTACTTACAAGAATGATGTAGCTATTAGACTTCTGACTGTCACTTCTCCAGAGGGCCTGGTGGCTTGGGCTGAGTGCCAGCCTTGTCAGCACAGCTGTGAGAAGACTGAAAATTCCTGCCTCTCCTCTGCTCACGTGCCTTTGAGCTTGGGCCCTTACCCATGGTCTCTCAGCTGAACTCTGTTGCCAATATGTGTGCATCAGCCTTGTACCTCCCTGGTTCTGTCCCAGATCCTTATGGACTCAGGTTCCTGGTATGATCTGGACCTGCAGAAGAGCCACCATGAGGAGGCCAAAGGGACTGACGGTGGCTGCTCTCACCAGCAGTGACAGCCACCTGCTCTGACTTTCCTGTCTGGGTCCTGCCTGCCCAGAGCCGCTGCCAGTCCTCCCCAGCAGGCTGAGCACTTCTCCACTAGTTTCTGCAAAGATGAGACAATGGACTGGCTTGCAGCACAGTAACTGATCTGACTGACTGAACTCCTACCCAGCTTAAAAATGAAGGAACTGACACAGGAGCTTGGGGGGACTTCCTTGGAGACTGCCCTGGGCAGACCAGCTGTGCTTCAGCTAGGTGTTATCTAGATATGCTGGCTGACTTATTGCTCTGACAGCCCAGGCAGTCCAAGGAACTCCCCTGAGCAGTTTATGCTGTAGGTGAAGGAGAAGGGCAGGCTGTACATGGATTGGGATTTTAAATAATCTCTGGAAACTGTTCTGGCCTATGCAGGGAAGGAAAGGGTACACAGAACAGTCTATGCGTGTAGTTTACAAACCTCAGATATGTTTTTGCACATAGGTGAAGATAATAAAGAGAAATTTATTATGTACATGCTAGAGTATTTGTTAGGGTCAGCTGGAGGATAATTATAACAGCTCCCTGGCTCTCCTTTGATCCAGCTGAAGATGCCCTCACAATGAGTACAGTGTCACCATTTAGAGAGCTACTGGTCTTCCTGATGAAAGCATCAAATTCCCCCCCATGAGTGTTACTCAAATAATAAGATTCCAATAAATTAATTTGTTTTAAACTTACAGCCTGTGAATTTGCCAGTTATGCAAAGTATCCTGTCAAATTATCTAGTAAGTATGTTCAGAACTGGTGTGTGGCACAGGGTTTACAAGCAATATGGAAAAGTTATCTGCCACAGGTCCTCTTTTCTAGATAACAACTTTTTGGAAACTATGTGCTCTATTACAGTTTGGTGACATCTAACTTGATAGAACTCCATCAACATTTTTATAGTGCCTCATCACCATGTCCCTCATCCAGGTGCATTTTTAACTTGAAGTAAAATACTTTCTGCTTTGCTCACCTTTAAAAGAAGAGACTCCTAAACTGAAAGCTATTGCAAAATTGCAGAAAGAGCACAAAGCGACAAATACTGAAAATGGATCATTAAAGTCCACACTGAAATAAAACTTTAACTCTTGTTAGTACATGAAATATATTATTGCAGCTAGAATTGGAAAATAGTATTTAACAGTTGGATGCTATTCTGCCCTCATCGTGGGCTACTCGCAAAGTACCTTAAGCAGAGTTAAGAGACAGTAAAATAACCTCCCTGAAATAAAATGGAATATAAATCACACTGAAAGAGAACAACATTGTGTTCACATTGCCAGCTTTAATGTATTGATAAAATAACATAAAGAAGATAATAAATTTCTTACTAAATGTTTAAGTGCACCACATGATTCTAAAACACACAGTAGAAGTCTTATTTATAAAGTGCAACCTACAGATGAAATGATAGTAATGAATGTTCTATTATTTTGTCCTCTCAAGGCAAGAGGAAAAAGGCAAAATGTTCTTTAATTCACATGAACTACAGGCAACAGCTAGTAAAATGTTGACATAAGAGGCTGCACAGCAATGTCTTACTGCAGTCAATATTGATCCAAGAACTAGTCTCTGTCTCTCAAATGCCTTTGGGACAAAATGAAAGGTTAATCTAACTGATCAGCATCCCACTTCTTGATTGTTGTGTGATTTTTTTTTTACTGAGATTTTTTTTCCTCCAATTTAATGTTATTTCTCTTGTAAATTAATCATAAGTGGGAAGAGTTAGTGAAAGCTGTTTTATTGTATTCTTACAGATAGATGCATTGAGATTCAGAATCTTTTATGTCTCTGTGGTTCAGTGCTTGTAAAGGCTATCAATGATTGAACATTATTTACCAAATACTTGTCAAATTTCACCTACCTGAAATAAGTCAGGAATCTTAATATCAAAACAATTGTATGTCGTAAAAGGCATTTACCACAAACAGCATTTCCTTGTGTCTTTGCTGATTTATGCAATATAGTCACTATGGTTTCTTAGTATATTTATACAATAAATGTATATTGTAATTGCTAATGTACTCCTTACTCACCAGAACCCATATAAATATGCATTATTTCCACATCGAAAAGTGAAAAGAATACTCTTCTGCCATATAGAAATTGAGGAAGAGCTGCAAAAGTGAGTTTCACGTAATAAGATTTAAGCAGTCATTCCAGAATTGGGGAACATTCTACTGGCAAAGCTCTTCAAATTTAACATAATTTGGCCTTCAGTTTTAACAAAATTCTTGCCTTAAGCAGTGATTTTCTTCTTGTTCTAAAGTCATAGTTGTTTGTTAGGTCATTGGAACTCAAATTACATGAATGAAGATTATCCTCTTCAACATTTAGACAGCAAAGTAAAAGAACTGAGGTATGTGGGAAAGGGAGATTAAATGAGCCATAGGCTTAACAAAAGGGTGGATAGGCAGTTACTCTTAATAACAGCTGTAATACCCAAAGGCCTTCAGCAGTAGCAGTGCATTAATTACATGTCACCTGATAATGCAGCAAGGACTATAATTACAACTATTTTTTCCATTACAAGAGAATGGCTGACTGAAGGATGGTTGAAACCTGCTGCATGCTCTATCTTCTTACATGATCTTCTTACTGGATTTATCTCATGAAAGGGATCCTAAGAATTGTGTCAATTGCTATAAAATAGAAAAGTCATCTGCCCTAGGGAAGTAGGGCATGGTTTTAGTGTTCTGACTCTAAAGCAAAATTTGAGATAAAAGTCTCCAAAGCAAGGATTGGAACAGACTGCATGGGAAGTTGAGTCACCATCCCTGAAGTATTTAGAAGATGTGCAGATGTGACACTCAGGGATATAGTTAAGAGGTAGACTTGGCAGAGTTAGGATGGTTGTACTTGATGAACTCAAAGGTTTCCTCCAACTTAAACAATTCTATGAATCCATGGATTTGCTGAAGTGCAGAAGTATCAATAGTGTAATTACCAATCCCAATCTGAAACACAAGATAGATGTTTGCTGGGAAAAAATTACTTCTAACAGCCTTTACATATTGACCCTCACAGAGTAACAAGAATTAACTTCCATCATTTAGGCTTATGTTGTTTACTGATTCAATTAGTAAATTATCCAGGTCTTCCATAGAATTATCAGGTACATGGACACAACAGTCTGCAGACTCCAAATTCTTAAATTATCAATAACATAACTAAAACTCATTTCAGTGATGTGTTTTTTATTCAGAGTTTCCCCTCTCCAACAATGAGAGAAGGACAACAGCATGGCAATTTTAGCTGGGGAAAAAAACCTTCCCTGGTTCTTTTGTGGAGAAAGAATATTGCTCTTCATTTTTTTATATAACATTTCACTTGTACAGCATCACATGCATTAAAAATATAAATGGAATATTTTAATTTATATATTGAATCAAGATACAATGTCTACAGTTCTTGTTTTTTCTGTGTGAAGGCAAAACTCTACAACACTTACACCACTTGGTATTTTCCTTCTGAAATCTCAGAAATAAGTATGGCACTTACTTTGTTATTCAGCACAAAATTAACTACTCTACCATTTTCCTTTATGGATGCTTTCAACTTGCTCTTCTCCTGAATAGGCAAGAATTTTAGATTAATAAAGAACACACAGTTTGCAAAGATTGCCATTGCTGTTCTGTTAAAAGAGAAAAGATTTTTTTTTTGGCTGAGAAAACTTCATTTCCCAATATCCACCTAAGTAGTCTCTCATATTCTTGCAATTCCAGGGAGTTGCAAAACAGCATGGTATTCAAAGCTACTTGGAACATATCTTAATCAGTTTTATTAATTTTGTTTAATTATGTGGAAAATTTAGCATGACCTACATTTTCAGTAAAATCATGGCTTGAACTAAGTGCAAACTCTTTTCTTAATCTCTTGCTGCTAATACATGCTGTTAGTAATGTGGAATTACCTTAAATTGGACTGCAACAACCTTGCCTTCAGTTCTCCTTTCACACAGAACCATTATAAAATAACTCTTTTTCAAGAATGTAAATTGCATTTCATGTTTCCACTAACTGATTCATAATCTGAAAATATTAAAAAAAACCAAACCCCAAAACAAAAACCCCGCAGCACAACATCTAAAAAAAAACTTTAGAAAACTGATCCAGACTAAACCTAATGCAGAAAACACACAACACGTGTCTCAACTACAACAAAACCCCCAGATCTAAGAGCACAATATTAATCCAGATCTGGATTAATTAATTAATTAATTAACTAATAATTAAGAAAAGTGTATTTCTGATAGAATTCACTTCTGGCTGTGGAAGTGAGGCTGAGGCAGGGGAGAGTTGGAAGTAGGAGTGTTGCTCTTCTCAGCAGTGTCAATCTAAATCATCTGTAAAACAAATTGAGTGAAAATTGGGCTGCACGTCATTTGTGACAAACTATGCTAAGATATGGGAGACTGGGAAAGTTTCATTTAAACAGGAGTAGAATTTATGACAACAAAATGTCAGTATTTGGCTGAAGTGATTAAAATATATCATCAATATCTATTTGTCTTCCTGGACACTAATGAGTGTAAGGTTATTTTAAAAGCTGATTTTAAAAGAATGATAAACACTGTGTAAATGAGCACACTGCACAGAGCACTGACCTCTTTATATAGCATATGAGCTCCTCAGCATGTCATGGGGCTTTCTAGGGTTTCAGAGCCCATCAGTGGTAAATAAGTCTTAAGTGCAAACTTGCTGGTCTCATGACTGGGTGGGTTCAGATAAAACAAAGCCAAAAACAATGCCCCCATTAAGCTTATTTGAAGCACAGGGCACAGTTTAATTTTCTCTGAAAGGCATTCAGAGAGTATGCTTCCAAACTACCCTGAGAACTTAATCAACCTTAAGCAGCTCTTGGTTTGGCTGAAAACTGCATTACTGCTCCAAGTCAAGCTAATGCAGACACCCTGCTAATGCTACAGTAACTAGTGTGGAGGGAATACATGCTTGTAAAACAAAACAGACAAGTCATAAATTTTTTAACCAAGGAATGTTTGGATCCCAGTGCACCATGTCCATATCTCATCCAGAGGGTTTGTATCAGTGTCACTGGGAAAGACTTTTACTCTATTTATATTTCTGAAAAGGCTACTTGATGATGCAAATTTTCCACACTGACCCAAGGCCAAGAAATTTTATTTGTGAGATAACTAGACAGAGCTGACACTCTAGAATACTTGGCCCCTCTAAATTCATCCTGCATTTGCAGGAGGAGGCAGAAGAAATCAGAAACTTCTTGTTCAAAGGTAATGTGGGAGGAACGCAGTTCTTGTGCTTTGCAAAAACATCTGATGTTAAACTTCCCTCTCTCTTGGAGAGGCCCTTTGGAGCAAAAATGCCTTTTCTCTATCTTAATGAGAGCTCCACATAGACTGCAAATTCTGATTAAGCTTCTATCCTTCTATAAAGAAACCTACACTAAGGACTGAAAAAAAAAGGAAAAAAGGGAAAGCAAATGCTAGTTGAAGTACTTGTGTTCATTTCCTAATTCACATTTTTCTGCCCTGTGTATGTACAAATGGGGAAACATTTTGTAGAAAATTTTCTTTAGACTAAACCCAAATAACTTAATTACCCAGTAGGTCATTCTGGCTTTAAAATTATTGGTCAAATTGTGCCAAAGCCTTTAAAAGGTCAATAAAACCTTTGCACCAACCCTGCAGAAAGATTCTGTTTTAGTACAGAGAAAGAATAAATCAAGAGACAGTGACAATGCAGAGGAAATGTTTAAATGGCACTGACATCAGCACTTGACAATCTGATATAAGATTATGGTTTGATTAATTTATCAAGGACCAAGTTGAGAGGAGATAATTAGGATAAGGTTTCAGATAAAAAAAAACTCCAACCTAACACATTACCCTGAGATAATTTTAGGCTAAGACTGAGAGCATGTTACCTACACTACATTTAAGGAATACGTTTATTTTCTTACCCTCTGGCCTATTTGATTTTCAATGTATGCATTTCTTCTGCAGCACAGGAAAAATGAAATCAGATGGCTACTGTGGAATAAATTATTAGTTAAAAAATAAGTAGTTAGTCAAGGAGACAGAGCATCATAATCCATTTGAATTTGGGTTTTTTAGTAAAACCTGGAAAATCAACACTATGAGATGCAATTTTACCCATGTCTGTATACACTATACACCTGATGGAACTGGCAACTCTATAATGGTTTTAGATAATGGTAGTAGGTGCATTTAGGTCAGGTAGGTAACAGATCAAAGGGCACATGAGGTCAATATATACCTAAATATTGTGGTTCTTGTTTTTTGTTGGTTGTTTTTGCATTAGCAGTGGTTTTGGCCTAAAAGTACTCTCTGCTCACACACACACCCCCACCCCCACAAAATGGGACGAGGCAGTCATCAATCACAGCCAGCTGGGGTTCATGAGGAGAAAGTCCTGCTTGGCAAACTTATTTTATTTTTATGACAAGGTGACCCACCTAGTAGATCAAGGGAAGCCAGCTGATGTAATTTTTCTGGATTTCAGTAAAACTTTCAAAACCGTCTCTCACAGTGTTCTCTGACTGAGGGCGGGGGATTGTGCTGCTCTGCTTTGAGCTGGTGTGACCTCACCCTGAGTCCCATGCGCAGTTCTGGGTGCCACCGTACAGGAAAGACAATAAACTATTAGAGAGCATCCAAGGAGGGCCACAGGGATGGTGAAGAGCCTTGAGGGGAAGCCTTTTGAGGAGCAGCTGAGGTCACTTGGTCTGTTCAGCCTGGAGAGGAGGAGACTGAGGGGAAACCCCACTGCATCTGCAGCCTCCTTGTATGAGAAATAGCTACTCACTTTTCATAGTTAGGAAAGTTTATTAAACCTTATCAAAAATACAACAGAAGACTGAATAGAGAAAAAAGGTCACATGAGCAAAAGATTTTCCTACCATGTGTTCAGCCCCCTCACAATGGAGGTTTCCCCTTTTTAACTCTTTAACCCCTCCCAAAGTTCTGTCCATCAACCCCTTCTTCACTGTCCAGAGGTGGAGATTTCTTCCTCAAATCCTGACTGGAGATCAGATGTCACCATAGTGACAAGATGGCCCTCCCAGATGTCCCAACTCCAGCTGTCCCTTGATAACCACGTGAGGGGGTAAAACATAACTATAAATCTATAAAACTTTTTATAACCTATATGCATTATATTTGTCCATTAATTGAGAGTCAGTCATTACTCATCTATCACACTTGTGAGGGGAAGAGGAGGGGCAGGCACTATCTCTTCACTTTCATGCCCAGTGACAGGACCTGAGGGAATGGCCTGAAGCTGCGCCAGGGGAGGTTCAGGTTGGACATTAGGAAATGGTTCCTCACCCAGAGGGTGTCTGGGCACTGGAAGAGGCTCCCCAGGGAATGGTCACAGCACCAGCCTGGCAGAGTTCCAGGAGCATTTGGGCCGTGTGCTCAGGCCCATGGTGTGACTCCTGGGGTGGTCCTGTTGAAACACAGGCCTCAACTGACATAAGTGACATAAGTACTTTAGCATAGGTAGGAATTAGCAAAAGATTTAAGTGTAACTGCTGCATCTGGCTGTAACCACTTTTGCAAGCAGATGCCTAGCTCTAGCAGGCTAAAGTGGTAAGAAAGGAGAGGCATGTTGGCTGTCACAAAAAGTCAGAAAAATGCAAAGTCATAGGGTTTGTTTTCATAGAAGAACGTAATCAATAAAGCACAGTTATAGAAAAGCATAACAGCAGTTAGGTGAATGTGATGAATGAATGTGTTACATAGGAGCTATGTACTGTGTTTGTAGCCCTAGGAAAAAGAAACCACACGTTGTGTAAGACCCCAACCCTTAAAGCTGCAGGTTTTAGATAAGCAAACAAGCAAGGGTGGATGCCAGAACGGTGAAGTATAAAAGCCTGTGCAAAATGAGCCCCAGTCAGATGTGCACATGGAGTGCTAACCCCTGCATGATCTCCTGGCTCCAGTAAAAGTGTGCTGTGCTTTCCAGTACCTGCTGTGGAGTAGGTGCCTTTGGATCACACTGCAGGGCCAGGAGCTGGACTTGACGGTCCTTGGAGGTCCCTTCCAAGACTTCCATATTCTACGAGTCCATGAACTTTGGAATACCTGACAGAGATCAAGAATTTGAGTTAAAACCTGTTCAAAGCACGTACTCAGCAGCTTTTCTCTCCTGAGTGAGGGAGATTCTCCCTGATCTCTCTCACTATTGATTAATGTGATCACTGGATTGTAGGCCCTTTTCTCCTATTTCCCTAGAGAATTAAATTTCTTAAAAATTTTAGCAGTGTTTGGCTTTGCTAGTTTTGAATGGCAAAATTTACAAAATTCAAAATCAGAATTTGTATTTGAATTAAAACTATTATATTTAATCTATGTGTTCAGGATTAATTAGCCAGTGATACAAACTTTTATAACTGGAATACTGTGTTGTTGCAGCATCTAATAAGGAAGTTTTGCAAAGTCTAACTGCTGACAATTTTCCCTGTTTTAATTCTTACAATTTTATATTGGTGGAGATCCTTAAGGTCCCAACAGCCTCAAAAGGATTTCACACAAGCACTCAAGCTTGTACTTCATGATCAAACCACAAACTCAACACTGCTGTCAGTAATGGATTATATTTTTAGCACATAGAAGAATCCAAAAATAAATTTCCATCATCCAACAACAGAGCATCATTAATCTATAGTCCTGTAAGACCATAAATGTGCAGGTAAACTGGAAAAAAACCCTCTAATAGTATTTTCCTACTAAGATATCAAAGGGTCTGAACGTCATGCTGTGGTTTAGAAAGGCACAAGTACAGATCCTTCTATATTCCAGCACATTAGCTTCTCAATGTTAATGAAGATTCGAGCCTTAGGACAATCATGTAGACACTATATTTGTAAATTGCTAAACCAAAGTCCAGGAAAAATGATGGCAGTGTGAAAAATGCCAATCACTTGTTGTTAAAATTTTAAAAGTTTAATAGTAATAAAATGATAATAAAATTAGCAATATAATTAGAGTAATCAAAATTTGGACAATTTGGATTAGGACAATATGAGACAATAAGAACAAAGAGTTGTGGACAGTCTGGGTACCTCTTTCTGAGCAAAATAAGCCCAAAAAAGGACACATGTTAACAGAGGATTAACCCTTAAAAGCAAGAGCCTGTTGCATATTCATACATGTATGCCTCATACATGATGCATAAATTCCATTCAGACAAAGGATTCTGTCTGGTCAGTGTCAGCTTCTTCTTAATCCTGACGGCATCGTCATGGCTTAGCAAGGTGGGAAGAAGTTTGTTTCTTCTGATAAGGGAGCAATAAATTCTCTTTCTCTGAAAGATTTAGGTGTCCTATGACTGCTATCTGGTGTGAGTACCTCATTCCTTTCTTTACAAAAATATCCCACATACATAGTTTCTATTTTAACATTATGTTATAACCTAAAACTAACACACTACTAAAAAGATTAATACAACATAACTTTCTAACATAACACATACGATGTGAAAAACGCCAATCGCTTCTTTTTAAAATTTTAAAAGTTTAATACAATTAGAGTAATAATAATTTGGACAATTTGAATTAGGACAATATAAGACTATAGAAACAAAGAGTTATGGATGTCCGGGTACTCTTTTCTGGGCAACATAAGCCCGAAAAAGGACACACATTAACAGAGGATTAACCCCTACAGGCAATAGCCTGTTGCATATTCATACATCTGATACATGATGCATAAATACCATTCAAATACAGGATTCTGTCTGATCATCGGCAGCTTCTTCCTCATAAGCCTAACGGAGTCATCCTGGCTGAGCGAGGCGGGAAGAAGTTCGTTTCTCCTCTTAATGGAGCAATAAATTCCCTTTCTCTGAAAGATTTAGGTGTCCTGTGACTGCTATCTCAGTGCGAGTCCTTTCTTTAGAAAAAAAAGTGTCCCTACATAGCATAGTTTCTACTTTAACATTTTGTTATTACCTAAAACTATATTTAACACACTACTAAAAAAATTAATACAACAGAACTTTCTAACATAACACATACACATATAATATTCATCTTAATATTTGCGAAAAGCCAATCATAAAATACGCCTTTTTCACAGCAGTACAGCAGAAAGAGCCCTACGGGACTACAGAAAGAATGAGGGAGAATTAAGACCAATAGAAGGCACATGAAGAGGCTGCCCCGGGGTTATCCAGCCCGGCCCTGCCCACAAGGAGGGCCTGGAGCCCCGGGACACAGCCGGAGCCGCTCGATCGCTGTCTGGAGTTCAGAGGAAAACGCTAATTTAGCTCAGTAAGACAGAGCATGCCTAAAACACGAAATGTCAGAAGGCCTGGAGGTGCATTTCGCCCATTTATCTCTGCGTTCCTCCCGTCCCGCCGCTGTTTAAAGTTTAAAAGGCTGTGAGTAGCCGCAGCTAAAGCACACTGACGTCCGCAGCCTCGCCCCAGCAGCAGAGCGACGCTGCTCCAAGAGGCCTCCGCAAAGGGCAACCAGTGGGAGCACTCAGGAGCTACCCCGAGCTGCGGG